GCGATGGGCGATGTGCGGGCATTAGGCGCGCTGGACGACGAGCGCAGGGCGCAAGGCGACATGCGCGAGGCTCAATGCAAGAACAAGGCGGCAAGCCTAATCCTCGTAGGAATAGGCAAGGCGCGAATACTAAACCCTGCAGGAATAGGAAAAGCAGTTGAGTGTTGGAACGCGCATGGAAGATCGGTGACGGGAGTAATCCTCGGAAGATCAGGAAACGTAACTGGGAGCATATTCCTAGTAAGAATAGGAATAGTGGATATGAGCTCGAGGCATGGTCCTACAAAGAATAAGAATGACGCATGTGGGGCGCGAGGCCATAAGCCTAGAGGCGAGAGGACATACACGCATGGGCAAAGGAGGTGCAGCCCTAGTCCTCGAGGACTAGGGTAAGGCGTGAGGGCGGCGCAAGTCAAGGGGGCGGCCAACTTGGAGTGGGGAGCAAGCAAGAGGATTGGAGTGAAAGACAAGTAATTACGAGATCTAGTAGATTTAGGATTTTTTGGTAGTAGGATATTTACTTACCTTAGGATTTAATATTTTATTGTTTTATTAGTTTCCTAGTAAGATTAGCACTAGAGGTAATTAGCACCTATAAATACCCCATGTACCTCATCATAATCTTGAATGTCTTGAATTGAATTGTTGAGCCAATTGAGAGGGGAACTTTATGTTCTAACGTGTGATAAACAAGGCCGTTAGTGCGTGTTTACATACAGTATGCGTCTACTAAATACACCTATCGTGAGTAATCGAAGGCCTTGAGTGCGTGATTATTCACAACCCAAGTATAGACAAAAATCTGATCCGTCATCATTGGTGCTCTCGCCGAGGACTTGGTCGAACTCCTCGAGCAAGTCGTGCAGCTCGCGTTGCCTTTCTTTGATCATCCCCGCGTCTTGCTCCGTCCGCTCGACCACAACGGCAAATAACTGCCCACCACTTCGCCATACCTTCTCAATATTCTCCAGTCCAACCTCCTTAGTCGATCCTTTGTTCGCTTTCAAGGTGACCAGCCTATCACCGGTCTCGAACTTTATCATGCCCTTCCGGTAGTTGGTCGTCATGTCACCGAGCCCTTCGAGCCATTGCACACCAAGCACCACATCTGGCCCTACCAATGGTAAGGCAAACAGGTCCGCCTTTACCGTTACT